AAAGAACAAGTCCAGCATTGAATAAGAACCAATACAACAGAAAAAAAAACAGTTATGTTCCTCCTCTACTATTACACAATGTGAAGAAGCACCTGATTCATCTCCTGCCTATCCTATTGGGAACAACTGTGACATCTCTCTGTCAACTTACGAGAATAATTTGAATATTCATGTCTGACAGTTCAATGACTTTGGAAAAGAAAAACTATATCCAACCAAGGACGGGATCACCTTTCCTTCAACAGAATGGATGGGAGGAATTTAAACAATGGATCTCAAACATTAGTCTAGCTATACAGAGCAAAACTGAACAAGTTTTATCTATAGAAGGACAGAATCATGTAATCTGTGTTGTGTGTGTTAATAATATCCCCTCTATATTATTTACATATTGATTTGATTATCATGGTATTGATATAACATAATGAAAATAAATTGAATAATCAGATTATGTCAATTCTTATTAATAAATAAGCTAAACAAGTGTACCCTATTTTACAAATACTGAAGAAAGAATAGTGTGAAGAATATAAATCAGTTATCTTAGCCAACAAATCATTCTCTGACATGTTAAATCATGATGAATGTTTATGGCTATATCTGAGATCTGCATTGACAAGAGTGAATAAATTTATTTTTCAATCCATGCTTAATCAAAGAGTAACACAGTTAAATTTATCAAGTTCTATTTTATCACTGAAACTTTCTGGAATACTCTAGAGAAAGACGACTTTATACAATATTTATGAAATATAATATCCATGTATCCTACCTTTGAAGATTTTAAGAATGAATAAAATATAATAACTGTGATAACTTGATAAAATATTTCAACTTGTTGTTTCTTACATGAAAAATATTGTCATTCACACTTTATAAATCCATCAAGTTTACTGTCTAGCATTACAGAACATACTTTACAATCAAAATAAGCTGTTACACTTTAACTTTGACAAGGAAGAATGGATTTTGCATATCATTGAACTTAACAGTCAGTAAAACAAAATTATTTATTCATGTACTTTGCATAAAAATACTGTTACGCCTCCAGTCGTTAGTTGATTTTCCGTAACTTCGTTCCCACGAAACTTTAGCGACACAAGTCCTTTCTTAATAAAACTGGTTTATTCTTTCTGAATATAACTTTACCGATACACTTATTTTCAACAGTCGCTCTATAACAAACGCTATAACAACTAACGTTAACTTCAACAATACTTTCTGACTGCAGTTCAATTACTCACTACCTACACATATTGTTACGTCACGCCGTGACCATCTTATGCATACCAGACAACCCCCAATCTAGCAATTGCTAGAGCACTCTCGAAGGAACAGGATAGTTCTAGAAAACGGATGGCATGATACTAGTCACGTGATCTCGCTGACGCAACAATACCGAAAGTTAAATGTATATTCATGAAATTCTCAATATTTGATTGTACATTAGGAAATTATTTTCGTCTTCTAATATACTACTAATTTCTCTTTTCAAATCTAGAACTCATATATTTCTTGTTTAAATATAATTTTACAAATATCACACACCAAGATTTATACATAGTCTGACTTCTTGAAAGTGTATTTGTTTAGATGTGTAAAGAAATATCAGTATTGTCCATCATCTTACAATTTGGGCTGTATTCTTCAAATTTATACTAGGGGTAAATTCCTCTGACACCTGAACAGATCTATAACATTTGATATTTACAAATAACACAAACTGAAGTATACATGAAGTATAAATACTGGATTATCAAGATTAACAAATCTGGTACATTACATTTGCAATGACATAAAAGACTGTTTGGTTTAGATATTAGTGATTAATTGATTTTTGTGAGTGAATATTTTATTATTGTTTAGTTTTTGTTATAAAAAGAGTTAAAAGCAGACACTTGTAGGAAGTTTTGTTAATAATTCATTGACGTCGAGAATATAGAAAGCGGACAGACAAGTAAGTAATAAAGATATATATAACATGAGACGGACAGACAGAAGCAGACAGGTAATAGCAAAAGAGAATACAGTTGGTGTGAAGTTAACTATCGTAGAAGTGATGGGCCTAACGTTTAATATGTTGGAGTGAAACTAACGGTAGAAAAGAAGATAAGAAAAATAATTTTATTCCGTCAAAGCGTGGTTCTAAAGTAATCGAATCAACCTGAGTGCACTTTGACAAAAGAAGCAGAGGATCTTCAAAAGAAAGAATACCAAACTATTACGGTAACTCACAGCACAATGTTAAGTGAATCACAGAGAGTACTACATAATACTTTACTAGTGCAATAGAAATACAGAAGGTAGTTCGGCTTGTCAAGTGAAATTCTAAAGTAATTGAATAGGCCTAAGTGTATTATTTGACAAGAAGGAGAGAACTACATATATAGCATTTATGACATGTCTATAACATCTATAGTGTTAAAGAATTTATTGTACATACGTTAATTTGTTCTGAAGATATATATATATATATATATATTATTTTGAAAACAAATGAAGTGCGTGCTGTTTATTCATCGTTGAATTTAACGCTAATAAGCCACAGACACCAACTGTAGACGGATCCTAAGCTCAACAACAACATAGTATGTAT